CTGTGGAAATGCAAACGCAAGACAGAAGACAACCAATGCAGCGCTGAAAATGGGCGGAGCGACATAAGGCCTATAGAAGCTCCATAATAACAACTGTTCAAATCTGTGCTGCTGTTTTCTTTTCCGTAACTTCTGGTAAAGGTGGTTTTTGAATTGTGTATGTGTGAGAGAGATGTTAGGCATAACAACAGCAATTATTTCCTGGCAGCAATTAGTGTGGTGCTGGAGTTGATTAAATTGTGTCTGTCTTAAAGGGGTCATATGATGTTGCTAAAAAGAACATTATTTTGTGTATTTGGTGTAATGAAATGTGTTTATGCGGTTTAAGGTTAAAAAAACACATTCTTTTCCACATACTGTACATTATTGTTTCTCCTCTATGCCCCGCCTTTCTGAAACGCGTAGATTTTTACAAAGCTCATCAGTCTGAAAAGCGAGGTGTGCTCTGATTGGCCAGCTATCCAGTGCATTGTGATTGGCCGAATACCTCAAGCGTGTGACGGAAATGTCACGCCCCTACCATACTGTGATGATGCCCTGTCAGGCCGGAGCGATGATTCAAAAACATTAAAACCCATTATAAACTAGGCATTTGTTGCATCCAGTGGGGACATAATTACTGATTATAATGACTTATACAGTCTTTTTACGCGTTGCGTTGCATCGCGCAGCATACACATAAAACCACATCTGCATTTGTGATCGGAGAAATGACAAACAACAAGCGCTACCCTACACTGCTCAAAACTCGCGTTTGAATCATCAGTGGCAAATTCTTTAAATATATAAAAACTTACCTGAGTCAGAACAGCCGGCACTGTAGTCTACTCTACCAGGATCAGGAAACAGTCCTCCATAAAATGCGCTGGACACATCTGAATATTTGGGTTGAACTGTTCTGGAAAAGTGTTGTAAACATAACTTAACTGTTAATTTCTAGTCGTGTCTTCTTTTGGAAGACCAAACAAAGTAACATTAGTTTCGCTTTCACAACGAAACGCACAGCGTCACACACGGCGGACTAGAGTGAGCGGCAACCACATGTGACGACCCCGGGCTGGACTCCGCTTCGTCCACGGTGAAAGCCGATCTGGCGATCCACAGCGCAAAGTTGATGTATTTCAGCGACCAGCACGGATCAGCTCTAAGCATGACGAAGTGGCTATCGTCCTCTTTTGGAAGGCCGGACAAAGTAGTTTCGCTTTCACAACGAAACACACAGCGCCTTCACGACATGGCGGCAGCAACAATACTACAGCGAGAATAAAAGTTACGCCTTCTTTCTTTGCGTGACCATTTGGGCAGCGTTATGCAAATCTTCCAACATCGTGACATAGACGTGTTAGAACGAGCCGTTTTAGGTAGGCGTGGTTGACTCTTAACTTTTATAAAGAATATCTGTTTTTGGATTTGAGACTTTAGTCTTTGCAACTTTACAGATCTTCTTTATGCACCAAGAGATTGTAACACTTCAAAGAGAAAGGAAAAATTTAAATCGCATCATATGACCCCTTTAATGTGGGTTGTTTGAAAAAATCTTTCAAAGAAGAAGAAAGAGTTGCTGTCAGTAAAGTGAATGGACTTTTTATCCTTTGTCCCCTGGAGATGTTTATTCGATTTCTAATTGAAACAGCTTTGTACAGCAAAACAAACCATCTGTGTTCAATGCTTGCTATCATTCAGTATGTGTCATTCAGTATGGTGTCTGTCCAACTATTTTAAGGACATTCAACAATTTAATGCTCCTCATTTATCAATAGCTAACACATTGACAGAATAACACATTTAGGGGCACATTTTATGGATATCGGCTATGGCTCCATCCATTCAGTCAGCATCAATCATCACAATTAGACATGGCGTGGCTTCAAAATAATGAATTTGTCAATATTCGTTTCATATGCATCCATTTACCAGTCGTAGCTGATATTTATTGGAATGCAGGTCATTTGTTTGCCCTCTGGGTTTTGAAAGATTGCCTTCCAGTTTGCTTAACAGGACTCCACCATATGTTCCAGAATTATGCAAAGCTCAGATGCATCTTATTAGCTCTGTGATTTGGCTCAAAGTGATTTTTCATCATGGCCAAACACTGCAGTTCAGAGGTTCCCATGAGTCTCATTTATGAATTACCCCGTCCCCATGGAAGCGGTCAGAATCCCTAGAGAGCAGAGTGAAAAATTGCTTCATTTAATGTTTTCCAGCTGGAATGGCAAACATCAGTAAAGTGCGACACTCGGACATCAGTAAGATGTATGCGTTTACTTCTAATTTTCTGACAACAACGTAACAAAAACAGTTACATTCAAAAGCAATTTAGATTAGGTATTTGAAATTATTAGTTTTTTTTACAGTTCATTCTGAGCATTCCACAATCTCTTGGCAATAGGTAACTATTTTGCATTTGGCAAATTGGCTAATACCTGTTAGTTTTTGTTTGAATCATATTAGGACTTCAATCAGCGCCTTGTAAAATAGTTTTCTCATGGAATCCAGATCATAAGAAATGGCAGTCTGTTAAAATAAAACATTAATAGTTAATAATGTTCTTGTGACATTAATACATTTTTTCACATTTCAATTTGTAAGATTTCTGCTAAAGATCTGGAGATCTGGAAAACATCTGCTGTGTAAATACATTTGATAAACATCTTAGAAAGAGCAGTTTTACGAACATTCTAAACAATAAACATCTTATAGACATCTTCTAGATGTCTATTTGACATCTGACAGGAGACGTCAGACGTAGGCTATTGAGATGAGCAGATGAGCAAACACTCTAAAAAATACATCTTGCAGATGTAAATGCATACATCTAATAGACGTCTCCAAGATGTTTGTGTGCTATCAGGGTTGTTGCTTTTCACGTAATTTCGTACCCGCTCACCAAATTTATAAAAGAGGTTTGCAAGGGGAAAAACACTCCATTTGACACTCAAGGTAAAAAACTTACGCAAAGTATATGTTAAATAAGTTTTCATTTCATCAGTTTTGTTTGCATCTCATTTTATTGATATTGACTAGATATCGATGTCAGCAACTCCCATTGATAAACCTGTATCTGTTAATGGAAAATAAAAGCCCTCTTATAAACCCAAAGAATCACAGGTCACCCTTCCTTCTACCCAGGTTTTTGGTTTTCTACTAGGAAAATCTTCACACATGACAACACTGCTCTCAGAACTGCGAGATGTTAATTATTTCCCGCTGGAGTTCCCCTCACTTCCATTGGTATCGATCTCCTCTGCTAGTTCTGAGGTGTTTGGTACGTTAAGATTTTTCTAACGTGATGTACATTATCGAACCTCTAGACATGTTTCTTTTCCTCTCCTATAGCACGGGAGCATCTGTGATGAGATTGTTGCCCACGTAAAAGCCTTGCTTTCTGCATTGCAGGAGTGGCACAATATATGTGACTGACAGCTTTGTAGAGGCGCTGCTCTGTGAACTGAGCGCTTGAGTGGAATACAATGAGAAATCTGTCTGCTTGGGACTCTGCCCGGCCGAAAATGTGTCACTTTGACACCAGTGCCAGGTTTTTTGAAGGCCAGCCTCTGTCACTTTTCTCGATGGCTCTATTTGTCACCTCTCTTTTCACTATGGCTCTCAGAATCATAAAACTCTTGATCTGGAATATGGGGTTTTAAAGACCATTGTCTATAATATAGAGAATGAATCATGCAATTTGATTTAAAGGGTTAGTTCACCCAAAAATTAATTACTCACCCTCATCCAAACTCGTAAGACCTTCGTTCATCTTTGGTACACAAATTAAGATATTTTGGATGAAATCCGAAAGCTTTCTGACCCGGCATAGACAGCAAGCAACTACCACTTTTAAGGCTCAGAAAGGTAGTAAGGACATTGTTAAAATAGTCCTTTTTCCTGTGGCTCCTTCGTCAGCAGCATCACATGCATGCGTCATGGTACTCTCGTGAACACACGTCGAAGACTTACACGGATGAAAAGAAATTGTTGAAAAAAGTCGTTATTTTTGTTTTCTTTGCACACAAAATTATTCTCGTAGCTTCATACAATTACAGTTGAACCACTGATATTTTAACAATGTCCTACTACCTTTCAGGGCCTTAAATGTTTCAGCTGCGTTGCTGTCCTTTTTCTCTCATTCACTTGATTATCCAAAAAAGGCAGTGCCATAAAATTTAATTAAATACAGAATAGTAGTAGTTTGGCTGAATTTTAATATATTTTTTGTTATTGTTATTGTGATTAACTGTTATCTTTAAAATTGGTCATATCTATCACTTATCTGGAGGTTAAGACAGCACTGCATCCCCCAGATGGGGAATTCTCTCCCAATATAACATGCATTAACATACAAGTCTGATTATACTCTCTCATCTGTAATGCAGGGTTCTCCCCTGTTTCCCAAAACAGCCGTACTAATTGGGAGTGCAGTATCATTTCAGAGCTCAGGGGACCTGTGGGAACTGAGCTGATGAAGCTTTAACACAGAAAGTACTGGGCTCTCGGCCCTTAATGAGAGAGACACATTTGAAAGGAAAACAGTGTCAGTCTTGTACTCAACAGTGTGAACAAATTGCATTAATTGTGTTGTTGTAGCTGCCACCATAACTATATAGGGGTGTGTGAGTGGGTCACAAGTTTATAAAGCAAAATCAACATTAGCTTAATCAGTATTTTGTCTTGTTTTCCAGTTTATTTTTCCTACCCAACTGTGCAAATTGTGTTTGACCTTACTAAATTATGTCACATTTATGCTTAATAATAAAAAATAGGAAAAATAGAAAAATAGGCTTAATCCAAGATACATTTTTGTAAGACTTTTTTATGCGGTTTTGCAATCACTCTTTATCAAATGCGTCTTTGCTGAATAAAAGAATACATTTCTTTAAAATAAAAAAATTAGCAAGCTCAATGACCCCAAACTTTTGAACGGTACATTTTCATTGGAAAACAAGAAGTTTATTTTTTTTCCAGTGTTTTACCCTGATCTGAGACCATTATTGGTTCACATAATGAGTAAATTCAGCCTTGAGCTGACTGTGGGGAATGACTTTCTGAAGCGCAAGTATTATAGATTTGTGGAATCTGAAAAGAGGCCAATTTTGTTCTACCTCGGAAGCACGGGAGGACCTCCTCGGAATTGGAAGGGAATTGGGATCGCCATGGTGGTCATCTTGGGGGTCATGTCTCTGGTCACCCTCTCAATTTTTCTGCTCACACCTGGTAAGACAGAGATTGAAAGAGTAAATGAATATAAATTGAATCAAATGGAAACCAAGGATAAAGAAAGAGAAATGTGAGATCAGCTACAATAAGTGGAGAAAGAGAAATGGGAAAACAACAGAAGATTATAGAGGATTTATGTGAGCGCCAGAGAGCTCATATATAAGACATCCATTCATAAACAAAACTACAAAAAGACAAGCAGAAACAAAGCAAGAAACACTCAAAATGGATTTGTTTTGCTGCTTGCTCAATTTAGCTTTAAAAATGCAACAAATATTTTTTTACTTTCTATAACAGACCTTTGCTTAATCCATTTGCATTAATCTGACTACCTACACAATTTGTGTTTGTTTTTGTGCACTGAGCCTTTATATTTCCCAGTACGCTTTGGGGGAGACTGGTTAGGGAGAGTAAATGTTGAAATTAAGTAATTATTTTATTCATTTTTGAGCAAGGTGAGAAAAGGGAAACTTGTTTGTGCTGTTATGTTGGGATATATAAGAGTTTTTGATATATTTTGAGTTGGGTAAAAGTGTCCAAAGCCACGTTTCACCCGCTTTTGGCACTTGGCGAGTGTCCAACATAACAGAAGCTATTCTAGATCCCAACGTAACAGAACATTAAACAATAATATGTTTTTTTTCCTTCATATTCAGTAAATAAAACCACTTGGCTGCTAACTTTATTTGTAAATGCAATATATAGTTTACATTTAAATATAATAACAATTTTATTAAGGAACAAAATACTGAGTGCATCTCAAAAAACACTTTCCACAGATTAATTAAGTTTATTTTTATTACTATTTTTGGTAACACTTTTATACATAAAGCATTATATTGTTATATTTTGAGTTGGATAAAAGTGGCCAAAGCCAAGTTTCACCCGCTTTTGGTAGTTTTATTGCATTAATTACAGTATGCCTTATAAAGCACCTTATAATGCATTGTACAATCTCATGAATAATTGTAACCTCAATTAATATATTATAACACTTATCAATTCATTGTTTCACTATGCATTTTAAATTCTGTTATATAATTATTTACGACAAGATATAATGTACTACAATGCACATTATAAATAATTATAATGCATTGTACCCTTTAATAACCCTTTGTAATGCATTATACATAAAGGCTTTAAGTAAAGTGTTACTCTATTTTTTTTTACAGCTTACTGCATTTGCATCATTAGCATCAAGATTTTGAGTTTGTTAAATAATCCTGTACATTCTTGTTACAGACACTATTTTTCTTCAGGAGTTGTGGTTGTCCTCTACTGACTGCTTGATCTTGTATTTCAGACGAGTCTCACCTCCTGCTGCTGTCTCGTCTCACTCTGGAGAACCTGGAGAGCGAGGACTTCAGAGTTCATGACCCATGTGCGATGTGGCTAAATGGTGAAAACTCCTATTGTACAAATAGTGTTTAATGGAATGGTTTAAGTTCATTGATTTGATGCTCGTGGACATTTAGGGCTCCTGCAGTGCAACATATCATTGTCTTGAAATGCAACAGGAGGCCAATGTGTTTTTCTACTAATGGTTAAAATGTTCGATTTATGGCATTCATTCAGGCTGCATTTCAATTCACATTCAGTTTTTATTATATAGCATGCAAGATTTGGGTTACTGCATCCCACATTCTAATATATTGATATTCTTATTTTTTAAAGTGACTGAACGGTATATTACTTCAAGTTTAAAGTGTGCATCCCTGCATGTTTTTTGGGCTAATATTGCCCACAACACCTCTGTTTGTTTGTGTTGGTCCTCTTTTGACTTTCTTTTGTAGTAAAATTGTAAGGAATGTGATGCCAAAGTTGCCTTCACAGTAGGCAATGTAAAGATGAAGTGTGTAATATTTTGATTTTAAAATACATACTTCTACCCCATTTTCATATGCAGTTTGACTTATTGTAAGTAAGAGTTTTATAAAGTAATATATATATATATATATATATATATATATATATATATATATGTATACTGTATATACTTATGTTTTTGAAAAGTCTCTTATGCTCACTAAGGCTGCATTTATTTGCTAAAAAATACAGTAAAATAGTAATATTGTGAATTATTATTATAATTTAAAATAACATATCTATTTATATTTTTTGAATACATTTTTTGCTGAATTTTTAGAAGCCATTACTTCAGTCTTAAGTGTCACATGATCCATCAGGAATTATTTTAATATGCTGATTTGGCCCTTAAGAAACAATACTTATTGTTATCAATGTTAAAAATGGTTGTGCTGTTTAATATTTTTTGAAAACTGTAATATATTGTTTTTCTTTGACGAATAGAAAGTTAAAAAGAACAGTGTTGATTTGAAATAGATTTTTTGTGTCAGTGTAAATTAGTTTACTTTCACTTTTGATCAGTTTAAAGCATCCTTGCTGGATAAAAATATGAATGGTACGGTAGTGTACTTTTCCATCACCAGGGAAGTACTGTTCATACAGTACTCTTAGTGCATATTCAAAATATGCTAATTAGGATGCAGTTTAGCTGCAGGTCAGTCCGGAGCTCAGCTACTGAATGTTGATCTTGATTTGTTTTACAGAGAACGAGGTGTCACTTTGCACACGGGAGGGTCACGTTTTAATCCACAGTCTCAGCACCAATCTAACCACCACGCTATTGGACAACAGCACCCTGGTGAGTGGATACTTACACATGCATGCACTCATAGTAAATAAAGGCTATGCCAACACACACATACAGTCTTCCTCTCATCCCAAACCACCAGTGTAAAGCAGCTCTCTGGAGAATTACAGCCCCCTTGAGGCATGTGAGCATGACAAGACGTACAACTCCATTAGCTCCATTCTCGTGGAACCTGACAAATGGGTCACTCCGTAGAAAGAGAGAGCGTATGGACTGGTAGCTGAATGTCTTTGAAGAAAGAATCAGAACGCTTAAAAATGAGCAAAGAGAAAGAGCAAATAGCTTTTTGGCTTTAGAGGCTCGACAGTTAATGCTCTCTCTTTTATTCCCACTTTCTGCGCTTCTCCCCAGTTGATCCCGTAGCATGCGTCTTCAAAGAGACTGTTTCAGCAGGGCCACCCTTTGAACGCTGTGGCTGGGTGACACTGAGAAACATATATGGGTCATTGCCTCAGATGCTCAATGAAATGTTGTTGAGATGACAGATACTTCTCCTCCCCACACTGTCAACAATGTTACACTTGTCACGTTGGCTTTATGCCCCAATGACATCTACCCACAATGCACTGAATGCATTCATGGTTTTTAGCTGATGGGTTTTTAGAGGGAAGAATACAAGTTGAGCTCAATGCCATGCTGATTTCCACAGAAATGCTTCTAAAATAAATAAAAATTGTATTTGTGTTAATACATTTACAAAGGAAGTCTATGAAGTGAGGCATTTCACCTAGATAAATGTTAAAACAGAAAATATAGTAGCCTCAAATAATGTAATAATATAATATAATATAATATACCCAAATAGTGTAATTATTTAATAACCAATTTAAAATTAATGACTTCAATCTATGAAAATATTTAAGAAATTGGGATTCTTTTTTACAAACTGAGGGACAAGGAAAATTGTTGTCTGTGGCAACTGACTGCATGCTATATATGTGTATGATAGAGCTGAATTTGTTTTGAACCTAAATTATTATTTTAAGGTGTTCTTTTTTGGATTCCGTTTTAGGATCTGAAGTCCATGAGGTTCCAGGTTTCAGCTGATAAGAAGTTCATCCTGATGGCTTATAATATCCAACATGTGAGTAATATGAACATTAAAAAAAATCTAGTCTCATTTCCATGTTACCTGCAGTTAGAGAAAAAGATGATTTCTTTATTATCTTCTTTATTGTTTCCATCACCATGCAGAATCATATCCCAGTTGGGATTTTGACAAAATCACTTAATGATGTAAAATTGTATGTAAATATGATATATCATGCCCTTTAAACGTCACATATCTTATTATATTTAAGAACCTATATGCTCTTTTAATGCTCATGCAGGAACTGCTACAAAAGGATCATCGGAAATGCGATTTTTAATATCTTATTATCTAGAGGAAGATATCACAATAATGTTATGCATTTTGAAGAGGGTCAAAGTTGTAAATAGAAAAGATTTCATTTTTTCTACTTCAATTTCACATTTAAGTCAGTGTATTACTTGACTTTTTTTTTTTTGTAATTGTTTGTGAAATTTACTTGCAATTTACTAGCAGTTTCTGAGTAAATCCTACTCTGATTTATTTATATATATATATTTATTTTATATATAGACTACCCTATAGCCCTAAAATAAGAACCTTGAATTTTACATGTGCAAATTAGACATTATTTAGTCCTCATTATTTTCTTAAAAGGAATGACTAGACAGAGCCCCACTAGTTTGGGTATATACATTTGGTCCACACAAAGATAGCAAAACCTGACAGATGCTGTGCACATATTGATTATACACGCATTTTTGTACGCCATTGTTAGGAGAGTGAACTACATCTTTTATCTACTGGACTGGACAAAATCTTTTCAGACAGGCAGGAGAGACCCCTTACATCGTCCACAATTTCTGCAGCATAGGGTGTCCGCGGGTCCTTAAAAAGTCTTAAATAACGTTTTCCTAATATAAGGCCTTAAAAAGTCTTAAATTCGGATTCGATGGGTCTTAATATTTTTGGTTTCATTACCGCTCAAATATATAATATAATATAATATACCCAAATAGTGTAATTATTTAATAACCAATTTAAAATTAATGACTTCAATCTATGAAAATATTTAAGAAATTGGGATTCTTTTTTACAAACTGAGGGACAAGGAAAATTGTTGTCTGTGGCAACTGACTGCATGCTATATATGTGTATGATAGAGCTGAATTTGTTTTGAACCTAAATTATTATTTTAAGGTGTTCTTTTTTGGATTCCGTTTTAGGATCTGAAGTCCATGAGGTTCCAGGTTTCAGCTGATAAGAAGTTCATCCTGATGGCTTATAATATCCAACATGTGAGTAATATGAACATTAAAAAAAATCTAGTCTCATTTCCATGTTACCTGCAGTTAGAGAAAAAGATGATTTCTTTATTATCTTCTTTATTGTTTCCATCACCATGCAGAATCATATCCCAGTTGGGATTTTGACAAAATCACTTAATGATGTAAAATTGTATGTAAATATGATATATCATGTCCTTTAAACGTCACATATCTTATTATATTTAAGAACCTATATGCTCTTTTAATGCTCATGCAGGAACTGCTACAAAAGGATCATCGGAAATGCGATTTTTAATATCTTATTATCTAGAGGAAGATATCACAATAATGTTATGCATTTTGAAGAGGGTCAAAGTTGTAAATAGAAAAGATTTCATTTTTTCTACTTCAATTTCACATTTAAGTCAGTGTATTACTTGACTTTTTTTTTTTTGTAATTGTTTGTGAAATTTACTTGCAATTTACTAGCAGTTTCTGAGTAAATCCTACTCTGATTTATTTATATATATATATTTATTTTATATATAGACTACCCTATAGCCCTAAAATAAGAACCTTGAATTTTACATGTGCAAATTAGACATTATTTAGTCCTCATTATTTTCTTAAAAGGAATGACTAGACAGAGCCCCACTAGTTTGGGTATATACATTTGGTCCACACAAAGATAGCAAAACCTGACAGATGCTGTGCACATATTGATTATACACGCATTTTTGTACGCCATTGTTAGGAGAGTGAACTACATCTTTTATCTACTGGACTGGACAAAATCTTTTCAGACAGGCAGGAGAGACCCCTTACATCGTCCACAATTTCTGCAGCATAGGGTGTCCGCGGGTCCTTAAAAAGTCTTAAATAACGTTTTCCTAATATAAGGCCTTAAAAAGTCTTAAATTCGGATTCGATGGGTCTTAATATTTTTGGTTTCATTACCGCTCAAATATCTTCAGTCCGACGGACCTAATGACTTTACAATCATTGGACAGAAGATGTTTTCTTCCCGCGGTAAATTACTGCGTCATCAGAGAGAATCGCAGAATATAGACTACAAGCTACAAGCTACCTACTGGCGGTTTTAATTTCACATTTAAAGTACCGGTATACGTTAAATATTACATATATGTATGTGATAAAATGTGTATTTCCATTACAGGTTTAGGTCTTAAATTTCATATAAGGTGGTATTAAAAAGGTCTTAAAAAGTCTTAAATTTAACTTGTTCAAGTCTGCAGAAACCCTGACACTGAACGCTGCTACGATCAACAGCCAGCGTGGAAGGAATAGAATATTCTAACACAGAGGAGCTGGGGTGTACAGAAAGAAAGAAGGAGGGATACAGACAGGCAGTGGGTGAGGAGCTGCTTGGCACTGAATTGTAATGAGCGTCACACTGGGGCAAGCCTTTGTGATTACAGCAGGTTTTAGTAACAGGCTGAGAATAAACAACTTGTAGGCTATTTGTCTGAGCAACCACAGCAATCTGTAGTTCTTATCCCCCTGCCGAACCTCCTTTTCAGAAAATAATCATCTCTGCAGTGGTTTTCTCTCTTCTCAAAGGAGGACGATGAAACAGGGCATAGACATGAGTAATAGAGAAAAAAACAGGGTAAAGAGGAAAAAACATGAGTGAAAACACTGACAGTACAATCCATATTCTCACTCTACTGAATTGCACTCGCACGCTCTCTCTCTCTCTCTCGACTTCTCTTGTGAATATTGCATTTTGTTGCTGATTAAAATAGGCTATGTATTGTTTATTTGTCTCGAAATGTGATGTGGTGCAATCTAGTGAATGACATTTCATCCCAAAATCATAAGAATTAAGAATTTTTTTTTTTACATAAGTAAAATATCAAGTAATGCATATGATAAATCTATTATTGATTGTTTGCAGTGTGACAGTAATTTTGTGAAAATTAAGCACTACCTTGTTTTCAAAATTTGTACAATGATGAATCGTATTTATTTCTTTTTATAATTTACATTACTCAATGTCCCTGATTAAGCAGCCCAATTAAGCAGCAGTAAAACGAAAATGCTGTACTATATATATATATATATATATTTATGCATTTATAAGTTTCATCAGTCATCAGTTTAATAAAATTTAATATATAATTATTTACAATTACATTGGAAAATAAGGTAAGATTTTGTTTAATTTGTGTGTGTGTATATGTATGTATATATATGTGTATATATATATATATATATGTATATCTATATTAGGGATGCACGATATATCGGCCACCATATCGGTATCGGCCGATAAATGCTCATTTTTTC